CCTACTATTGCCCTGGCCTTCAGTAGAAACTCTAAGCTCATGAATTTGTAATATTATCCTTCCTAATTCTTCTGATATTCAGCTTATTTTATGTTGATGCTATTGGGCTGTAATCTATCAATATTACTGATTTGATGTTATTTAAAAATTAAGGTCGTTCATAACATTAACTCCTTCATTCACTATAATGTATATAGAAATGTAGAGCCTGATGGTGAATTTGTCGAAAGGAGTACTCTTTGTTCAGTATCCACCTATATTAGCCATAGATAAGGGGGTTGCGTCGGCGTAGGTGCATGCCCGCTGGCAGGGTTTCGACTCAGTTTTAGAGTGCCCAGGAAGAAGTCTGTCGGATGAAGATTTCAATAAAGAAAAAAATTCCCACTTAGACATTTAGAAAACAGAAAGATCGAGCGAAGAAATATTTACTTTTCGATTAGATCCTCATCTTTGGCTCTACTCTAATATGTATAGCATTTTAATTACAATACAACAGTTTGCCAATCTAGTGGCGATAAGTTTGTTAACAATAAATAATCATTGTCAATGAGTTAATAGTTAACGAAGAAAATCAATACAGATTTAAAAAGTGGAAGTGGATAGAATAAATTAATTTTACAAGAATAACACGTAAATTAAAGATAAAGTGGTCAAAATAAATAAAATAAAATAAATAATTTAGACAAATATAATTTTATAGGTTTAGGGGTAGGGGGGATGAAGATTTGTTCGGTATGGGACGAATCGACGGGTTTCCTCCCTTTTTATTGACGTTAAATTTACTGTAGTATGACGACTTATTAATTTTCCCCAGGTTAATGGTAAGATTAAAGTTGCTTAAGATAGGGTTATCGGGATTGCTGCTGAGAAATCTATCTGTAATGAGTCTGAGTACGAGTGGTTCAGGTCTATGATCGCAGCTGCTTCACTGTTGGGATCACCAGGAAAAGCTCTATTATTTAAGGGTATTTTATTTTCATGCGTGTCTGGAGCATTAGGTTTCCCCAAATATGAGGCGATAGAATCTTTTTAAGAAGTTCTGTGGTTGGACGGGTTTTCGCAACACTTGATACACTTGCGCGGCCACATCTTTGACATGGAAACGGGTCATGGACAAGTTTAGCGTTACCATAAGATGTGGATGAATTAATCAGCCCGTCAGACGACTGGAATTTCCCAGAATCATTAGGTCTACTGAATTTAAACAGCACAGGAAAAGTATTCTTTCCTGATTTTTTTCCTGAGTCTGATTGGGTGGCAGTTTGTTGATGGCATGCCACAGGCTTGGAGAAATATCGCTTTGATTTTGTTCAGAGACATTTACCCAGGCATATTGTATGCCAAAACGTTATAGGAAGACATTATTACTATTCCTTTGGTAACTTCACTAGCTATAAAGTATAACGTAAGTTCAGGCTTCAGCAGACTATCCGGATTATTATCGTGAGTTGGGTTACAAAGAAGTAATAGTAATATATATTTCTTCCTGTTTATGCAGGAATATACCAATTGTACAGGCATGGATAAGTTATTATATAAATTACACAATTTGATGTATGATGAATTTACAGTTTGGTTTTTAAAGGTTGACGGATATTAAAGGTTTGACGTGATATCTCGTTCGACAACTAATTAATTTATTCTCGCGTACCAAAGACAAAGCAAAAGCCAATAATTGGTCGTCCAAATGAAGAAATGTATTTAGGAACCACAACCAGCCGATAGACGAACGCTTAGCTAGCTAGTGATCGTGCACGTTACACGACGGGGTACCAAATGGCGGGGATGCTTGACCGGAAGCCTTCAGCTAAACAAGTCGACTTAAACAGTGGTGGTCAGCATCCAATGAGTGATTGCTGTGGTCAATAATTTTGGGGAATTATTTACCGCTACAGGTTGTTCATTCTGACATGAGAGTCAGTCGGAACAGTCTGCTATAAAGTCTGTTTGTGTAGCACATAAAGAGATATAGAAATATTGTCTTCGCATTAAAAAAACCCAGACATCAGATGAATGTAAGTAGTAACGGCTTAATTGTATTTAATTTCTTATTGAATTTCTTCACAGAATTTCGCAGAGAAATAAGGTCTAACTTACTTCGGTTAACAGTTGAGTATATCTCATGTCAGGTACAGTGACTTCAGGGATATTCTTGTGGCCATGTGGAACGTGTAGAGGAATTCGTACCTTCCTAGCTGCGTGACCTAAGCTATTCTTACGCAGAGAAATTACTCGTTTATTACGTTTTCACATTAATAATAATAATAATAATATTATATTCTCATTTTGTACATGAGAGACGCCAGTTTACAGGCATCATCAATATGATAAATTACATATACGATTAGCAATCGTAATTAATAATAATGTTTTAATAAAGTACACATTTTTTCCTACTTGTGTAGGACACACCAAATATACAGGCATGGATAAGCATTAATTAAATTTCATAAATTCGGTTTATGGTTAAGTTACATGGTTGCTGGCGTTTTTGTTTTAATAATAATTATAATAATGTATATTCTCATATAAACATATAAATTTACATGAAAATGCATGCCATTTTTTTAGGTCTGTGGGAACAATATGATAACCAGTCATTCAATGGAGCACATCATGAAATATAGGAATATTGTCTTCGCATTAACAAAAAAACCCAAGTAAGTTTTGGATGGATTAAAAATACTTGGGAAAAAATAAAGCTTGAAGTAATTCCTCAATATAACTTGGGTGTGTACAAATCCGAATCTCATTTTTGATTTGATTTATATCCAAATTGGGTAATAAGGAAGCTATTTTTACAGATAAGATCAGTTATGTTATAAGCTACAATCGTGAAGTTGTATTACAAATTGATACTTTTCCATTGGTATAAGAGTATATTCCACAAATGTAATCCACAAATGTAATCCAGGTTGCGTCGTGGAGAAAGTTAATTCGTTATTAACCAGGCAACTGAAAGATACGGGACCAATAATGTTTGCAGATCATTTGTCATTGTAAATGGTCAAATATCCACATTATTCATTCTCATTCAAAAAGTCAAATGGAAGCTGAAATGGTGAGAGAAATACTGGTCAGTATTTCTTCAAGTAGAAGCTGAGCAAAAAGGAAAACAGGTATATGCACAAATCGTATATCGAGTAGATATGCAGGCTATAAATAGTATAGGTGCGGTATGGAATCGCTTATTAATAAATAATAAATAGACAAAAGTATTAAACCGTGGAACAGGCTATATAAACTAATTATTCTGCAAGTTGATCCTGATATATAAACCACAAAGTAGTGAACTTCTCCGCAGTTTCCTTTTGTGTTAGGTTGTTCTTTATTTGTAAAAAAGGGAATGGGCCCTGCAGAGAAGCGACTCAAAACTTGATTACTGGCTGTGATATATCTAGATAATTGGAAGCTGGGGTGGCAGCCAATATAATTTATAGTTTGATTGTTATAATATTCACTACAGTATTCCAGAAATCGAGACCAAGGGTAAATTGGGAGGACACATCCGATACTGCAAAAGTACAAATGGAACCATAAGGAGGTAGGTAACCGGGCCTTAGTACGTCGCTGAACCTCAGAGGCACTAGAGTGATGCGGTAGTGAGAATGAGTCAGCGTCACCCGAGTGTCCTACCTGAATCCAAATGGAAGATTACAACTGGCTGGCCCCACCGGAATCGGCCAACTGATTACAATATTAAGTCCCCTGACAGCAGACATCGTGACGTCAACTACCCCACAATGCGCTGAATTTGTGAGACTCAGTGTCAGCTCCCTGCGTAGTAATGTGAGAGGGCTGACAGGAAAGGAGGGTAAACTCAGAAACCTCCAGTCACACTTACACCTGGAAATAATCATCCTAAAACCCGGCTAACACCTACTATCGCTGACAACGAAATCAGTATAAGTGATAAGGTTCTGGTCAGGAGAGACAGGGGTAATGAGGAAGGGGAAGTCGCCACATACATTGACATCCCATTCAAACTGTTCGACTCTTCTATGCGCTGATGACGTAAAGGTATGGAGGGCAATATAGCGTCTGGAGGACACAGATAGACTGCAGGAAGTCCCGGAGCTTTTGCGAGATTGCATGGTGACCAGTGACATGACTTTCAATCTGAAAAATCGCAAAGCAGTTAAATTACGCACCTGTTGGCTGCAGAATCCAAGTTACACCCTATGCAATCAAAGCTTGTCCTGCACAACATCGGAGCTCGACTTAGGTCTACTTCTGACGGAAAAAGTGGACATAAGCGTAAATTACACGGGGGCGTATCGAGGGCATATGAGGTTATATACCTTACATATAGACAGTTAGGTGCACTCACTACTGAGCTCTTTCTAAGGTTGTGCAAAACATAGGTCAGACCACACCTTGAAGTGCACCCCAACCGCTTAGAAGAGACGCCAACCTCTTGGAAAGAGTCCAAAGACGGGCGACAAAAGGAGTGGTCGGTGTCCGAAATAAACCATATGATGAGAGGCTATAGAAATTAGGACTTTTCACACTTGGCTACCGTTGGCTTAGGAAGGATTTGTTTACTGCCTACAAAATAAAAAAATTACCAGAATCACCCAAACAAAGGTGCTCTGCCATTGAGTAGCTATAGGCGTCCTCGTGGAAATCCCACTCACCGAAGATCTGGAACCTCTACCTCACAATCAAGAAGCGAGCTCAAAGAAATCACTGGTTTATACTAGCTCGTCATCAGGATATTGGATATTGGACTCCTAACACACCTCATACTACATACCACATATAATTAATCCCAGTACTACTCCCTTTTGGTCAACCAAAGCTACGACAGTCGATTGGCGGGACGAGCTACGCAGAAGTTTGCCAAAGATCAGGAACCTATACCTTATAATCAAGAAGCGAGCACAAAGAAATCAAATTGGTTTATACTAGCTTGTAAAAACGATGTTAGATTGGACATTGGAAGGTCGTTTCTATGTATGCTTTCAACCAACATGCTTTTTGAATTTGTATGAAACAACATGCTTTTGTTAGTCGCAATTTGGTTAATTACATGTTTGGTTGTTCCACCGTTGCATGGTATTTATCCAACATAATTAATACTAACCACTTGCAGGAAATACATGTGTGTGTGATATTAGGCCCATGATTTGTGAAAAGTTTTGTCAATGCGATCCCGGTTGTTCCATTGAAGATTGGAAGTCTTTTAATAACTCTCATTCAAAGGAAAAGTAATTAATATTTTCTTCAGCCTATTTTCCTGTTGCTACTTCAGGGGAAGATGGTGTATCCCAAAGGTGCTCTACTTTTCATCATCAACTACTTATATAAAAAGTCAAGAGAATGAAAACCTGTGTTTTTCTGATGATGCTTGTAAGATCTAAAATTGCAAATGATTCTTAGTTGTGAAACAAAATTTCTTCAATGCAAAATATGACACGTCGAAATTACAGTGGAAGTCTATTTACACAAATACTTTGAACTTTTGGAATGCTTGCGTAATTAAAAAAAACTGATTCGCTTTAATACTTTTGACTGTTAGACTGAAACTAGCCTATGCGTGCTTTATAAAAGCAATATGCTTGGACGTTTTACTATTCCTAGTGATCAGGGATGTCTGATATCAGCCAGTCCAAGTAAGTACATGTCATCACTTTCCAAATATTTGAACTGTTTTTCATAACACAGCATAATTTTGCGATCCTTTGTAGACAACTATACTGAGTCAAAACCTCCTAAAGCATTTCACACCCCCTCTGGGATAGGTTTCAACTGCTTTGATCAAAGCAGTTGAAACCTATCAAGTCGACTTGATGGGCTAACTCTTTTCGCAATGAGATAGGTACTGTGATTAGCTCCTTACTGCTGAATATATGCATATTTGCAGTCTCTGCAAACTCAGTTATCTCTCTCGTAGATCTTTTCGAAGCAGTTAGATGTCATTTATACAAAATGTCACATATTCTACTGCCCAGAACTCTTGACTTTCCCCAAAATTTGGAGTTGATATGCTTCAAAACCATATTTGTCCAAAGCATCTTGAAAAATGAAATTAACTTTTATCTAGCAATACAGGTATTCATATGACTGAAATTAACGTGGTTGTGTGATACTTGAACCTCTAGGTCATATTCCCCAGTGATAATAAGAAGCATTAAATCAGAAATAACCGTGTTTTTCCCCCTCAGTTGCTCTCTTCACATTAAATTGAGGTGACTTACTCTGCTGCAGTTATAAGTGCTTTTGATAACAGCATTGATGTTGGCTACGGTATATGTAGCTCTTATTGCTATAAGTTTAAGAACCTTGGGACCGAATCATGTTCTTTGTGAAATAAAACTGCCACAGCCCAGCAAGCACTGACTTCGGGCGCACTTCAGAATGTTTGGGGCAAAGTGAAGATCACTATCACGTTCTGCGATGAGCTCGAAGAAAGTGCTATCTGGAAGGAGCCATATCTCTATCATAAGTTGCCAGTTATTTCGAAAAAAGATAGGTCCCGGCTTGAATATACTACCTCAAACAGATTACCTAGATATTAAACATATGTGACAGTCAGATTTCAGATTTATTTTTTGAGGATAGAAGGCTTAGAGCCTATGTTAATCTTATAGTAAATTTCTGTGGTTGTCCAAACCCTTCTTGAACGAATCAGTTGAAGTCGCAGACACCACTTCTTCTGGGAATCGGTTCCAAGAGTTTGTGACTCGGTGTGAGAACCAGTACTCAACAGTAATATGATTTCTTCTTGGCTTTTGAACTCTCCTGCTATGTCCTCTAAGGTATTCCGACCTGGTGGGAAGGAAAAGAGAGAATAGGTCAGGTCCGTAGTCATTATTTAAAATTTGAAACGTGATTAAATGTCCTCTCTGCCTACGGTATGACAGGGAGAAGAGATTTAAACTGTCTAGTCTTTCCTCGTATGATAAGTTAGCTATGCCGTGAACCATACGTGTTGCCTCCCTTTAAACCCTTTCTAGAATGTGTGAGTCCCCTTTAAGACAAGGGCTGGCGGCCTGGAATCAGTTTTCCAGTCTTGACCTCACCAGAGATGTATGTAAGGAGGTGAACATATTTCTGGTGATTCTAGTAAAGGCTCTGCGAATTGTCCATAAGGTCCTGAAACTACGTGCAGCCACCGCGCGACAGTGTGCTGTAGTTTTTAAGTCGTGGCTAACTATGACACCTAAGTCCAAGTGAGTCTGAACTGATGGAAGTGTTATTCCCTCTAGTTCGTAGGAGCTCGTGCTTGCTTGTCCAATGCGCATGGTTGCACATTTTGCCACATTGATCGGGAGCATCCATTCAACAGACCACTCTGACAATTTGTTGAGGTCTTCTTGCAACGTGGACGTATCACTGTTGCCCCTCAGCTTTCTCCAAATTTTTAAGTCGTCTGCATACAGGAGCATAGGGGAGTCGGTGAACAGAGATAACTCATTGATATACAAAATAAATAGGAGAGGTCCGAGTGCCATACCTTGTGGTACTCCGCTACGCACTGCTGTCCAAGAGGAGAGTTTCGAGTTAATCCTAACCTTCTGCCTCCTATCTATGAGGAATTCCCTGAGCCAGTTTAGTAATCTGCCTTTGATACCAAGACTTTCCAACTTCATGAGGTAATTTATCAAAGGATTTGCTGAAGTCTAGGAAGACGACGTCAACGAGTCTTCTGTTGTCCCTTGCATTGACCTAGCTTTCTCTTACAGTGAGGAGATTTGACAGGCATGAGACGTTCCTTCGGAAGCCATGCTGTGCTCTAGATAACAAGCTGCTGTTTTCCAGATATGCTATGGCGCTTTTCTTGGTGATTCTTTCCAGTGTCTTGATTTAAGTGCTGGTGAGACTGATAGGCCTGTAATTTGAAGGATTTTGTTTTGATCCTCCTTTGTGGACTGGGTTATTATGGCGTCTTTCCAGTCACACGGTAATGGTCAGATTTTGTAAAATAAATCACTGATAGTCTCCGATGTATACTTCCAAATTATAAAGAACAGCACCTCTGATTTTCCTTCTCTTGGTGAATTCTTCTTTATATTTGTTTAATTCAACAAGTGGGTGAGTCGTTCAACACCAGCACTACCTCACCGATACCACTGAAAGGCAGTGGGCTTTGTCATAACAATAAAAGATTACATTTCATTGTGGGGAAATGCTCTAAATGTGTTCGATCTGTCAGACGGTGCTAACTTTTTTATAACAACATACCAGCTCTTGTGCTTTGATACGATACTGATTACATTCTGTAAGGGGTAAAAGTTACTGTAGCCTAGCTGACTAATATAAGGTTCATTAACTTTGACAAACACTTGACAACTTCTTTTAACTCCTCTCTGTCCATAATTTTTAGTTTACTTACATAACTCAGAATAACTTTCAGCATAACATACTTTAGAATATCACAAAGAAATTGAATTAATAGTTCTCAGTCATATTCGTTTTGTTGAAATGATTTCTTTGAAAATTGTCTGATTTCCTCGTAAAATGTTGACGGATTCAGCCTTTTGGACTGGTAGGAGAGTGATCAATAGAATATTATTTGTCAACCTCAGAAATACGTTGAGGAATTAGAACTCATTTGTCATGTATGAGGCTATCAGCCACACTGACTGTGTAAAGGCTAATAAAACTGTCTGCTTTCTCAAAGTGAATTAGGCATAAATGGATTTGAAAGACGGCTGAAATTCGAATGCCGAAGTGAGTGAGGCACCTCTTCACACGAATTAAGACTTGTTATGGTAGATTATCAGACGCTTATATTTCAAATCAGAGGTAAGGACAGGTAAAATAACTCCATGATGAGTTGACTCATCTCAAAGACTGAATAAAATAACTTTCAGGGCTCATTTTCCCTACAGATAAGAATAATTAGAATAACTCTTTTTGACAAATGTTTCCTCGGACTCTTATTTCGCATAAGTTAAAATTTAAATTTTATGACGGCCCTTATGCACAGATTTTCTTTTGTCTGTTGAGCAAAAGACTGTAAACTTAGTATAGTCGAGGGGAGAAAATTCTCCTTCCGCGATGAATTCACTTTCATAGCTCTATACAATGATATTTACGTATACGTAGATTTCAGAAAACAATAACAAGTAGTTTTGTGTGCATTACGGTTTGCCGATAAATTGAAATAAAGTGTTATAATATTGGCATAGATGGTATAAATGCCTCGCATAATGTGATTTAAAATGTGAATGAATAAAAAAGGCTCAACAGAAAGTTCAACCGACTTAAGTAAATAGACTAAACTTAAACTAGGTACATTTATGAATGTGAATAGGTGGAATTTCCATGTGCAATACAATAAGATAGGGAAATAAGATGAGTGGAGTGTCGTTAGTTAAAATAAAATGTTAGAATGTTATTATACAAAGTGACACCTGAGAAAACAAAGTGAAACGACATAGAAACAGGAGTTTTTGGGAGTCACGTGGTAAAATTAAGTCTCTCTACATCTGTCTGTTTTCGACATAGAACTCTGCACATATGTGCGCCAGCTCAAGTCGCCACACTCCCTCCATGTAGCACACAAAGCAAGAGAAGAAAGTACAAGAAAAGCATAATAGCGACAGTAAGTAGAGGTGTGAGACAGAGGAGGCATAATAACGAAGAACAAAACAGTTTCATTGGAAATCATAAGTCACAAGGAGTGGATGCATCTGTGCCACTGACAACGATTTTGAGCCATGTCACCAAGTGTTTCCAACCATTGGTTTTTACAGTCCCGAGGGCCCCAACCTGGAAGTCTACACCTTCCTACGTGGCTGACTTAGACTAACTGTTGTGGATTTCATTGACTGATGCCAAGTTTTTGTTTGACCTCCGCTAGCTTTTTTCCAGCCTGACCCTATATTCGCTAACATTGCTCGTCGAGGAAGGCGATGACTTGGCATACGTAACACATGTCCTAACCATCTCAGTCTTTGTAACTTCACAACTTCGTCGATTGATTTCCCCTGTTTACCTAGAACTCGATGCCTAACCTCTATATTGCTCGCCTTATTATGCCACTGCACACGGGAGATAGAACGCAAGCACCTATGATCAAAGACAGCTAATCTTTTCATATCTTCCACTTTCAGTGGCCAGGTCTCAGAGCCCGCCATAAGGAAGGACGGAGCGGACTGACGAGTAGTACACCCGCCCTTTGTTCGATAGTCGGATATCTCGTCTACGCCGGAGACGGCGTAAACTGGTAAATGCGAAACGAGCCCCCTGTATCCGTGCTGAGATTTCATCAGAGATCAACCCGTTGGCACTGGCCGATGGTACTTCCCAAATAAGTGAAGCGGTCAACGTGCTCTACCGCTTCACTCCCTATTTCTAATCTAGGAGTCGATGTAGTCCAGTCCTGTAACATCATCTTGCATTTGGTGGGGGCGAGTCGCTCGCATGCCAAACATTCGTAGATTACAACTCAAGGTGTTTAGAAGATACTGCAATTTTTCAGCGTCCTCGCCTAGAAGGACTACATTGTCTGCATATTCTTAGTCAACGAGATTATTCCCTGGTGGCAAGTCAATCCCCGAGTCACTGAAGTCACTTAGGGTTACGTCCATTAGTACATCTATGATGAAGTTGAATAGAAAAGGGGATAATAGGCATCCTTGACGGACACCACTAGTCGTCATCAGTTCAGATGACAGCTCACCGTAAGCCCTCACCTGGCTGACGGCATGAGTTCGAGTAGAGTGAGTGCCTTGATCAGTGCAATGTATTTTCTCGGGATTCCCTATTCAGCCAAGCATCGCCATAGTACCTTTCGGTCGACAGAATCGAATGCTGCCTTTAGATCAAGAAATATAGTGATTGTTGGGTGCCGATAGGAATGCTTATGTTCTAGAATCTGTCAGAGGGTGAAGATATGACCAATACACTCTCTTCCTGGCTCTCTCTTGCTTGTGCCTCCCAAGCCCCACTTAGTCTACGCATGATTATTGAGCCTAGGACTTTAGATACCACCATATTAGTCAAGCTAATCCCTCTGTGGTTATCACAGGAATACTTGTCACTGTACTTGTACACTGTAATGAAAAACATTTTACAGATATTGTCTGCACAAAAACTTCTGACTGGATTATATTATTTGTTGGTATGCAAAGCAAGTGAACTAGTGCCCTCTTTTGGATATAAAAATCATATCTTCGCTCAAAGGGAAGTTTCTTCACTGAAATATTTTTTTAACTTATCGATCATGATTATTGATTTACTCCTTAGTATATTTCCAACCGTATATTATTTTAGGATTCTTAAGTAATACAACAACGAAATGCAATCGAATGTTAAATTTAACAGATGGTGGTACAAGCTGTGCACAACTGCCGAATATTTTAACCTATACCGATCAATTACAATTCATTCGACTACCTATATCAAAGTTTACTGAAAGTGGAGTTTATAATATCGAAGCTATTACAGCGAGTCAGAGTATAAAATCAATTGTTTCAATAACTTGTAAAGACTCCAATGATTCTATAATCTCCTGTCAAAAATCTTTACCGGTTTTTGATACAAACACACGTACATGTAAAAATGTCATAACTGGCGTAAGTTTGATACCATATATATATATATATATATATATATATATATATATATATATATATATATATATAATTATCGTTTTCAAGCTGTGAAGTATTAATATTACGGGAAAGGCACTAAGTAGCATTAGAAATTAGTCAGTCAATATACACACGATAGTAATAAAGATAATTAACAGGATGTTTTGAGGCGGTAGAGTTGAATTAAATGAAATACAAAATCTTTTTTGGTTGTTAAACAAATGAAGTGCTATCAAAATTTTAACACTAGGTCAAAAATTAAAGTTAAATAATGATAACAATAAAGAAGGCGAAGATGTGAGGTGAACTAAATAAATTTGAGCGATAAAATAAAACATAAAAAAGGAACACTGCTATTATCAAGGAATGAAAAGCGATTCAACAAAACGCTTTCGAATATTTAGTTTAAGCTTTTTGCATGCATGTCTACTGCTTTGAATGTACATAAGTGGAGAAAGCGTAAAATTTAAGGGTGAATGAGTGTATCCCTTTAAATCATGTGAGTTGAATGATCTAACTGAAGGTTTTCACAGACCAAGAACTTTTTCATTCTCTGTTCTCCTTTCATCAGCAGAAGCAGGAAGTATTCATCCACGCGTTTTCGGAGGGCATGCTTACTGCGACGAATGTAATAAGATCTACAGAAGCATGCAATAAAACAGATGCACATATTTTTCTGTTTGAATTTATAGGTATATTTGCATCCTATTTTCCTATTCTGTATTTCTTCTTTCAAAACTAAATATTTCTCCATAGGTCACATATAAATTTGCATATAATGAAAATGGTTTAACAGAGGCCTCCGTAGAATTTAAATTTTCAAATGTAGTGACTGAAGTATTCGACGAATCATACACTGTCCAGTTTGTTGAAGTAAGTTGTAAAAATATGAAATAATTAAATGGTATTCAGTATTTCATGTGTGAAAAGTTTTCTTTAACCATTGAAAGTTATACTTGAACCTTTACAAGAGCTGACGCTGAGTCATGCTCCTTCCCCTCCTCCTAAGAAAAATACCGGGCCGAATCACCCTGGAAAGAAAGAAATATACTCCTGATGTATGACTCCTCCAGGAAAAAATGAAATGAAGACAAGAATAAGATAAGACAGACCGATAACATTCCCGATTGTGATTAACTGTAGCATGCTACCCTGGGGAGTGAGAAGACGGGTATACTCTGAAAAGACAAAAGAACCTTAGAAGATCTAGATCTCACGGATAATTTGCTTCTTGTGTAGCACAAACCCAACGTTCTACAAACGAAAACCAAAGATCTGACAGAAGCAGTGTTAAAGACAGGACTTCTGGTGAATATCAGAAAAGACATGGATGATGAGGATATCTAACCAAAAATAATAATCAGCACCAATCATCATTATCGGAAGAAATTTGAAGGGAGTCACCTCTCTCTCTCACTTACCTGGATAGTATGGTTTCAGCTACAGGCGACAGAGATTAGGATTTCAAAGGTAGAATCAAAAAGTAAGACACATCATCACTGCCCTGAAATCAACCGGGAAATCTGCTACACTGAACACAAAGGATAGTATCCAAATTTAGTTTAGGACTAATATTAAACCAGTGCTTCTATATGGCTGAGAGAGTCAGTTCATCACAAAAAACATTTCTAGCAGGTTACAGATTTTTGTCAGCAGCTGCCTTGGCCGGATGGTGAAGATCAGATGGCCAGCTAGAAATAATAAGCAGCAAGAGACTCTGGCAGTGAACCAACCCAGGACATATTACAAAACAAGTGCTCATAAGAAAACAGAGATAAGTTGGGCAGAAGCTGAGAAAACCGTTAATTGACATCATAGGCCACGTAGGCCCTGGACTGGAACCTGAACGGAAAACGACGAGGTGAGTGTTCGAAGATGATACGCTGGACATTGTGTGAGGAGCTAGCTAAAGAGGACTTCAGAAAACAGAACGAAATCGAGATATGCTGCTGAAACGGCATGTTTCACTCAGAATCCAAGGGATTAATAATAATATAATACCTAGAATCTAATTTTAGACAAAGTGTTGAGAGATAAGTATTGAAAACTTTTATCACTCATCAAAAGACTGTTGTTTCAAATAGCATCGAGGCTTGTGATATTTACTCAAACCGAATGTCTTACTATGAATTTCTGAGGCTAATTTGCATCCTAGGCTATCATAGATAGATTAAATATCAATTAAAAGACGGCTTCGTGCCTTTAAAGCAATGGAATTACGACTGACAGGACAGGATTGTACTGAGCATGTAATATGGCTAACAAAAGACCGTAACGTATCATCTACACGTTCAAAAGATAGTTGGGAACTATCAATACTAACTTCAGTGAGGTTGCTACACTGTTCAACGTATCATCTCTTAGACTAGCTGCAACTGCTGACTGACTGAATTTCAACATAGAACTCCATATAGAAGAGCAGTACTTTATGTTGACACACAGCAGATAGCACAAAAGAGAGAAAAAAGAGGTTCAAGAAAACAATAGTGATTAGGAATGTATAGAAGAAAGTATAGTAATTTCAAAAACAACACGAGAGTTTAATTCATTAAGGAGATTACGAAGAGTGAATGCATCTGCAATATCAATATCAAATTCCAGCTATTGAATTTCAGAAAAAAGAGAACAGAAATCATCTAGTATGCATATAAATAAGTATCCTAAACCACTTTTCAAAGACTTCCTGGATTGATGCCAGGTTTTGGTTTCACCTCCCTTCACTCTTCTCCAACTTAATTTTGTTAGCTAACATTGCTTGAGGAGGGACGGGGTAACTCGTCCTCCGTAGCATATACTTAGCCATTTTCTTCGATGCATTTCCACAACTTCGTCATTTGACTTCCTCTCCTTATCCAACCCTACTAAAACCTTATAAACCTCCTTACATCAACGCCTCACCTCAGTATTACTCAGAGTATTATGTCACTTAGGACAGGAGATAGAACTCAGGCACCTATAGTCGACGACACTTAGCCAGCCTCTTCTCTTCATAACTTAATGCCCATTTTCAATACCATGTCTCACAGCCACAAAGAAAGAGAGAACGAAATTCTGGTCAATACACACGTCCTTTCTTCGATAACCGGATATCATATCTGGGTGAGAGATGATGTGAGTTGAACTTTTGTATCCGAGCCGAGAATTAGTCAGCTGAGACGGAGGCAACTTCCAAATAAAAAAGGGATCAACACTTCAGTTCCTTTCCTTAGACAAGGGGTCAGTACAGACCAGTCTTGCAGAATCGTCTTACACCCGACAAGGAAAGTTGCGTTCCAAACATTTAAAGATTTCTGCTCAAGGTATGAAGAATACTCTTCACTTTGTCAACGTCTTCACCAAGGATGACGATATAATCAGCATACTCTAAACCGCCGAGACTGTTTCATCGTGACAAGTCAATCCCTAAGTCTCTAAAGTCAGTTAGTGTCAAATCAACTACCACATTTGTAAAGAGAACAAACGAAAATGGGGATAGTCGGCATCTGTGATGCACACTACTGGTTCCCAACACTTCAGGCGACAGCTTTCCATGAAATCTTACACGGCTATTTGAGTTCGAATAGAGTGCTTTGATTTGTGCGATATACTTTCTCGGCACTGTATTTACGGCTAAACATTGCCACAGGATCTCTCACTGAAAGAAGTCAAATGCCAGTGTCACGTCAAGAAATATGATGAGTGTTGGATGGTGGTGAGCATGTGTATGTTCCAGAAGGGTGTAGACGCGATTAACACACCCTCTTCCAGGACTAACAGCAGTCTGGGTTTCACCGGTTTGTTTCTCCCGAGAACTACTTATTCTAAGCGTGATTTTTGAACCAAGCATTTGAGATGCTATTTCAGTTAGGCTAATGCCACTGCTTCTGATCTCCAGACAACATCTAATACCGTAGTTAATCCAGAAAACAGTTCGTCACCACCACCGTCTTTCAACACCTTAAAAGCGATATCATCACATCATGCTGCTGACCCTGTTTCAGATTAGAGACACAGCTTTTGACCTCAGGTAGACATGGAGGGCCTATGTTGGTCCCCTATTCAGGTAGATGCTGGATGCCTGGCAGGTTGGGAGTGGTTATAGGACAGTCAAATTACTCCTCAACGATTTCCCTCCGACAGGTTTCGTGAATAAATTCCACTGTTTTGTCATTAATATCATTTGGGCCTTTTTTCTTGGTCTTTGTGCTGACTGAATCATATCAGTCAAATTTGCAGTCTGATTACTGAGTTGAATGAGTCTCCACAACGGTGTACTCTAAGCTGCTTTTAGATATTTGAAGGGAATCAACAGCAACCCCTTGATCTAAGGTCGACATGAACAGTAAATTATTACACTGTCTACATTCGTCCAGTAGAACCATGAAGAGGGACGTTGTTTGCAGAAGTTCAATGAAGAGACTCAATCTGTTTGTAATGGATGCCATTTGAGTATAGAGTCACCTAAAATCATCATGCCAACATTTTAACGGCAAACTCTCAGGTATATAACTTAGTGAACACTTTTGGACTTGCATGATAATGATGCATTGTCATCTTCGTTTCAGATTACAGACAGAGGTTTTAACCTCAATCATAAGTTGTATCACTGAATCAGCCCCCCCCCGCTCCCCAACACCCATTCATGCAGGTGTTGGATACTGGGCAAGTTTTGCTTGGCTATAAGCCGGTTAAATCACTCCTCACTATGGACTGTTCTACGTTCCAGTATTCTTTCTGGAAAAGTGATTAAGGCACCGTTATCTTTAGATTATCTCGCTTATAATTCATCTGGTAAAGCTTTTTTCCCTAATAAGCCCAAGCTATTGTCTAGTGTCACCTATTGCCAATGTCTTTTGCATCTTTTTAGCACAGGACTAGTAAGTCATAAACTACTGGTTCGAAACCTGCCGTAATCCAGATAATCAGAACGCCTTCAATAGCCAACCATTACATTAAAAAAGTAGAAGTTTGATAGCCGAATGAAAAGTTGGATTGCGTATATGCCTGTGAAAAGATTACAATAACGCACATAATACATGAAACTGAGACGCAGCAGTAGTCCGCTGAGTCCTCTTTTATGACTGTGAGACCTGGCCATCGAGAGTGGAAGATATGAAAAGATTAGTTGTCTTTGCCTGTGCTCTATCTCCCGTGTGAAGTGGTATAGTTGGGTGAGCAATATTGAGGTTAGACCTCGGTCGAGTTCTAGGTGAGGTGGGAGGGGAAATCAATCGACGAGGCTGGGAAGCTGCATCGACTGAGATGGTTAGGGAATGTGTTACGCATGCACGCCTAGCAATTCATCGCCTTCCTCGACTGACGGGCAATGTTAGCTGACATAGGGTCAGGCTGGAAAAGAGATAGCGGCGGTCACAACCAAAACACGGCTTCATCAGTCAATGAAATCCACAACAGTTAGTTTAAGCCAGCTAGTCACGTGGGAAGGTGTAGACTGGCTTCCTGACTGGTTGGGGTCCTCGGGACGGTAAACACCAATGGTTGGAAACAATTGGTGATATGGCTCCAAATCGTTCTCAATGGCTGGTGCAGATGCACCCACACCCTGTGACTTAGGATTTTCAACGAAACTGTATTGTTCTTCGTTACTTCTATTTCTTTGTCTCACACCTCTGTTTACTGTCTCTATTATGCATTTCTCCTACTTGCTTCTCTTGCTTTGTGTTCTACAAGGAGGGGAGTGTGGTGACTCGAATTGCTGCACATCGGTGCAAAGTTCTATATTGAAAACAGACAGACAGTGATATGATCATAACGCTAATCTAAACGACAGATGTTGGCCATCAAATTATTATATGGCTGCATTATTGGCCAATCGAATAGCCGTTTTTTGTTTTGTTTTTAAAAACGTACTGCTGTGACTCTTCCATCTTGATCATAGTGCATATCCATTTTGTTATGCATTCCTTCCGTTCCTAGTGGAAAATATGGCTTCAACAGGGCATCTCAGCTGTGAGTAATTCTATGACTGATCACAGGCTTTCAATGCATCCATATATGATTTCTTTTGTGACCGCCTAACTCGTTTAATTTTAATTTTTTTGATTTTTTATTAATTAATTTAAAAAAAATTAAATTATATATATGCTTCGGTGGCACAATGGTTAGGACTCTCGCCGACCATGCACATGGTCCGGAGTTCGTTCCCCTGCAGACGCACACTTGATATCTATGGTCGGCCTGCAAAATTCGGGCTACCGATACTACATGCTGAAAATTCCATATCTGTATCGAAATTACTGTGTGGGAATCAAGCTATAATCAAAATACAAAAATTTTGTGTTTATCAGAAAACTGTCAATAAAGCGTATCCGCAAACTCCAGAGATACTGAAATCCACCTGTCGGTTATAATCGTCATTACCCTATGCTACTGCTGATAGCTTGTAACTACCTAAATGCAGCTTGAACTGCAGAGCCATAGCTAGTCAACTAATTTTGTGACCACGTAAAAACTTGATTGAAGTTATTGAATCAGCACTAACATTGAGGACTGCATGCATAATGTTAGCTACTATCCATTCACCAGCAAGTGAATATATATATATATATATTATTGCTCCCTTGGGTTACTAGTGGAACATAGGGCTTCAATTGCACGTCTCCACTTGCCACTTCTGTCTTCCTTCTGCTGTACTTTTCACCTGCATCCATCCATGTTAGTTAGTGCATACTCTTTCACAACTCCTCTTCTCACGATCTCCTCCATGTCACCCTTGCACTGACGTCCCACACGCCGCTTCCCTTTCGGGTTCCACTCGAGCAATAGCCTGACGCGCGCGCGATGTCACCCAGCGGTCTCCTCAGCGAGCGAGTGTCCGATCCATCTCCACTTTCTCCTGCATATTTGTTGGTTGGCGATTGGTTCTTGCTTTGTTTGTTCCTTCCCATAGTTCCTTGTTGGCGATTCTTTCCGGCCATCTGATCTTCAGTATAGAGCGTAGACAGTTGTTAATAAAGGTCTTCAACAGGCTGTTGGAAATATTCTTTGTGACCCACCCGCCAAGTTTCTGATCCGTTCCGTATAGAAGAACGACTGACTTTACGTTTGTATTGAAAATCCGACCGAGTTTTGTTGTTGGTGCTGGCTGAGTGACGAAGATTTCCAGATTGATTTCAGGTTGATGAATGTGTTTTTCGCCTTCCCGATTTTTACTCGATTTGACATCCTCGTCCGTTCTGACTTTCTATAGTTGAGACAATGCTCCCTTGATAAGTGAATGAAGTAAGCTCTTTCAAATCCCTCCCGTTGATGGTGATTGACGCTGGATGTTGCTGCTGTTGTTGTTGTTGGTTGGTTATTTTCATCACCTCCGTCTTGTGTATGTTTACTTGGAGTCCTGTCTTCTCCGGCTGCTTCTTCGACCAGCTTGTCGGTTTTCGCTTGTAAGTCTTCGATTTTGTGTAACATCAAACATAAATCATCGACGCGCGAAATCCAGGTCTTCTAGGTTCTTCGCGTCGGTCAAGGATATTCCTGTCTTCTCGTTTCTCACTCACTGTCTGACGCATAATCCATTCAGTCCACCACAATTAGGAATATCATTCATTGGTGTTAATAAGCACCCTTGTCTGACTCCTGTGTTTACTCCAAACGCCTCGCTGAGTTTTCCGTTGTGGATCACTTGACATGTTCCGTTGTCGTACAGCTGTTGAATAAGGTTGATGAATATTTGGGGTACGCCGTAGTACTCGTAGTACTTCACGGTCAACGCTGTCTGTCGAAGGCCTTCTCAAAGTCTATAAAGTTGAGGTAGAGGTTTGATTGCCATTCCATGCTTTGTTCGATGATGATGCAATTTGGTCAGTACATGATTTGCCTTTCCTGAATCCAGCTTGTTCTGGTCGGAGTTCTGTATCCAGTGCGTCCTTTACTCTCTTCAGGATGATGCGACTCAGGATTTTACTTGGCGTCGACAGGAGCATGATTCCTCGCCAGTTCTTGCAGAGTGAGGCGTAAGTCGCCCTTCTTTGGTAGTTTCACGAGGTAACCTTTCCTCCAGTCAGTAGGCACCTTTCCCTCCTTCCAGACCTTTTGCAATAATGGAGTGAGTCAGCATGTCTGCTGTAGTCTCTGGGTCCGCTTTCAGTGCTTCAGGGGGTATTCCATCTGGTCCAGCTGCTTTTCCAGCTTTCAGAGTCTTGATTGCATTCAAGACTTCAGCTTTCGTTGGAGGATTGGTGTCAACTTGCAGTTGTGTACGTGCTGTTGTTGGTATTTCTGGACGGGTTGCAGGTGGTGGTCGGTTCAAGAGTCCTTTGAAGTGATCCGCCCATTGTTTAATCTGTTTTCTTCCTTGGTAATTGGGTTCCCTTGGCTGTCTTTTATAGGTTTCGCTTGTGTTGATCTCTTCCCGGATAGAGATTTGGTTATCTGATATAATGTCCTTTTGCCTGCTGCCTTCTCAGCTTCAGTGGTGAGGTTGTCGTAGAATCGTCTTTTGTCCTTCCTAGCACTCTTCTTCACTTCTTTGTCCAGTGCTGTGTAAGTTGAGCTCAGCATCTCCTTCTCCTGTCCGTCCTTGCATTGAATCATTTTCTCTTTCACCATTCTCCTCTCTTCTATTAATTTCCAAGTGTCCGTTGAGAGCCATTCCTTGTCTTGTCTCTTCTTTCTTCCTAGAACCGTTGAACACGTTTCGTTGAGAATCGCCTTCAGAGACTTCCAATGTTCTTCCACGCATGATTCTTCAGTGATGTCGCGTAGTGTTTCCTGCTTTGCTCTGACAGTTGCAGTGAAAGTGTCTTTGTGGTTGTGTCCTTCAGTATTGAGTGTTGAACTTGCATTGTGGCCTATCCCCAGCTATCCTCGAGGCTTTTAGCTTCACCTTGAAAGTCCCTTGTACTAGATAGTGGTCTGAACCCACATCTGCTCCTCTCCTCGACCTTGTGTCCAGTAGGCTCCGTCTCCACTTTCTTGAAATTGAGATGAAGTCTATTTGGTTTTGGTGTTTCCATCTGGTGAAATCCATGTCGTCTTGTGTATATCCTTGTGTTTGAACACACTACCACCAATCACCAAATCATTGAAGGCGCAGAAGTCTGAGAAGAGTTCACCATTGTCGTTCATTTCACCGAGGGCCTCCCGACCCATGGTGAGTTCTCTTCCTGTGTTTTCTCCTCCCAGCTTCGCATTCATCACCCATCAGGATTTTGATATCGCCATTTGGGACGTTGTCCATTATTGCTTGTAGTTGTCTGTAAAACGCCTCCTTCTTCTCTTGTTCTGAGACGTTTGTAGGCGCATAGCATTGAATGACTGTAACTTTCCTTCCTTTTGAGTTGAACCTGGCTGTCATTATCCTGGAGGAGATTGGTTCCCACTGCATGAGAGCTTTGGCTGCTGTTGGTGACATCATGATGGCCACTCCTTCGGTGTGCTCGTGGTTGTCCTCTGGGTGGCCGGAATAGATTATTGTCTCTCCAGTGGTAGTTGGCACCTTCCAGTTCCGTTCCATCTGCTTTCGCAGATTCCCAACACTTCTATTCTGTACCTTCTCATTTCAGCGGCTATCTGGGCAGCCTTTCCAGTTTCGTACATTGTACGAACATTCCAGGTACCCATCCTTACTTTTGCTTTCATCGAAAGAAGGCACATCGGCTGACTGGCTTCCCGAAGGCTTTCACCAGCCTGCGTCATTTCACTTCCCCGATTCCAGCGAAAAATAAGGTTATTGTTTATGTTTTTGGAATTTTTAATATATTTATTTGTTGAAGTTTCTGTAGCGATTTGGTTGTTTTACAGGGGTGGAGTTGCTAGCACCACGCCCCAACCCTCCCTCTTTATCCGCCGGGCTTGGGACTGGCAAGAAAACTAGTAAGCTAGTAATCTGGTGAGGTTTATATATATATATATATATGTTGAAGAAAACGTCAAATGATACCACACCCTAGGCAGGTTATAAGGTCTAGTCTGAGTGGGAAGTGGTGAGCCAGCTATGGGTCTGAGGATCACATGAAGATGTTCCACCTGGAACATAAAAATAATGATAAAATATCTTTAAAACTCATTTAGTGATTAGTAACTTATATTTTCTCTCTGCTTTTACAGGGAAACAATGTGATTAATCAAAGTGCTTTAGTTCAACCATTATTCACTGATTATCGTAGTGGATCTCCAGGTTATCTAAAGAATTATCCAATTCGAGCGGCTTATGCACAAACTGATACTTCGAAATCTCAAATAATTATGTCAACCTATCCGTCGAATCCTTCAATTTATCCTAATCTGAATAATGAAATTAATTTTGGTTGGTGGCCAATACCAAACTCTGGTGATTGTGAAGAACAGCCAAAGTTGACAGGTCGAATTAAAACAATATTATTCGGACAGGATACGTATAGTTCATGTGTACTTAGGTAATTAGGATGTATTTTTAAGTTAATTTCGGACTTTATAACGAGAGAGTATGACTGCATTTAGATATAGGTTGGTCTGATCTCAAATGTTTCGGCAAATAAATCCTCCCAAAAATTATTAATCTACAGTCTTTATCAACATTCAACTCTGGGCACTGAGTACCTTCACTGTCTAGATGAATTCTATTTGACATGTTGAAGTATTATGGTACTTAGTTAGATAATCACTTATCTTGGTTTAATAGCACTGAGTCCAGAACATACAGCGTTTTTGGTGATTCAGTTTCCCTTTTGATTTCTCTCACTACCAGTTTTCCATTCAAAGTCGCTTAATATATTTTTGTTTGGAGGATATTTGAATCCTCTCTGTCACCGCACGCAAGCTTTCTTTTCCTATCCACATGGTCTCCTCCATATCTGCCTACGTCATGCGCCGAACTTGTCCCCTCCATTCAAGTTCCACTCGACAACAAGTCTGCAGTATGATATCATTTGCATGTCTCCCCAGTATATGCTCGATTCATCTCAATTCCTTTCTGGAGCCTTTAAAACAAAGCAATTTAGTTTATCTAATACCCTGTCTGACTGCAATGATTGTCAGGTCAAATACCTAGGACAAAGTAGTAGAACACGGGCAGTCAGTCAGACTAGCCGAACATAAAAATCTGACAAAATCTTGACTGCTTGACCCAAATGAGATAAGAAATCTAGAGAATAGTTCAGCTATACCACTCACAACATGCAGTTACACACAACCATACAATAGGATGGATGGGATAGGATGACAGTTTTAAAATCTAATCTAATGTCACAGGGTAAAGGGAGGGAGAGATTGATAGCAGAAGCTTTATTTATCGAATCAACTGCAAATAAATGTAACAGGAATGATTCAACACCTGTCCCGGATATCTGGAAAATCTACTACCCCAACGACGACAAATAGGAGAGAACAAAGGAAACTACGAAACTCAAGTTTCAAAGTCGTGTGATTACAATTGATATGATTATGAACAATAAATTTTGTTCGAAACGTCATCCAGTAAATAATACTGTTTCACTGTGTGATACATCTAATGAACTAACTACCTCAGTTCCCAAGTTTTACACATAGATTAATGTATGCTTTTTAGGTTGGGCAATAGACTCTTCTTTACCTAACTGCCACAATAGTTCCATGTTACCTATCCCTTCTGACTGCCCCCCCCTGACCTTCAGCGTCGATCAAATACGGTTGTTGATGTAAGTTTGCAGCCTACTAAAATGCTTTTGATGACAAGTGATCCAAGTCTCTAAATCATATAGAAGTAATGACTTAAATTTATTAAAAATTCTTATCTTGCTGCTTGTATTAAGTGTTGTGAATCTCTACATTAATTACAGAGTAGTACTGAATACCCATCTTGCTATTTCGGTTCGATTCTAACTGGCTTCGACACCACCTGTACAGTTTATAGTTAGTACGATGCTGCCGGGGTCAGTCGAAGTAAGATTGCTTCCACTGGATATCTCGCATTAATAGTATTTATTGACTGTTTTTACCGTTTATCTTCATCACCTCTGTTTTCTCTCCGCATTATTGAAGTCATATCTTTGTTGCCTCTACTGTCAATTTGTTGGTTTTCTTTTATACTGCCTTCGAGTCTGTGTGTGTGTGTGTGTGTCGTAAGACATAAATCATTTGTGAAATTCAAATCTTCTATTCAACTCAAAATCTAATGCTAAGTAAATTCCACTGAGATATTGAATAAATTTTACTAGTTAGATACCGCCTTTCCTTCTAAAAATCGTTACTATTCTTCATCTAGTTATTTATCCTCCTGTAAGTTTTCGTTTATTCCAATTTCAGTGAGCTCATTTTTCCCTACCACTTATGTGTGCTACAGTTTCCAAAGTATAGCGGCTTGAGGTGATATACCATTGTAGTACAGAATTATACACTGAAAACTGAGGTCACTGCGCTTCTGTTTTTTATACATTGATTTGAAAATATTAATATAGGCGTCGTAACACTGTTTTATTTCCTTGCACTCCTAGTGTAACATGGAACTTCAGGTTTTAAACTTTCAGTAGCAGAGGTGTTGTTTTTTATAGGATAGCCTTTCGTCCAATCTTACCTCTTTTCTGGACTTACTGTCAGTCAGTGGACTAAGTAGGGTTTAAGAGTGTGTCAGTCTAGATTTGAACCCGAACCTCTCGCATAGCCTAGAAGCATACTATTATTCAACTACCAACGCAAATTTTAGCACTTAATAAACTATAATTGAACAGCTATCAACCACACTACTTAATTTTCTAATTTATCTGTTGTTTTTTTGTCAGATTAAAATCATTTGTTGGAAATCCTATAAACTGTACAACTCTTGAAACACAGATCAAATCAATATTAAATTATGGTCAAACACCGATTACTCATGTCGGAGTTTGGGGTAATTCGACATTAACCAATTAGCTGATTGGATAAAAGTCACTGTGGTAAATGCAGAAGCCAACAATATCAATTTAATTAATGGAACAAAATCATGGTATGTGAAGTAATTAAACAAACTTACCGCTTTCCATCGATTTGTTTTTATCATTTAAAAAAATTCCAATCACCTCCCTCCTCCCGCCCCCTAGATTAGCAATTTTGACCCCCTGAATCCGACTTTGCTCACTAGTACTTTTAATCATGATTTACACAGGTGGAATGTGGCTTCAATTCTTAACTGAACAGCTGATTCCCAAGTGTTTCAACCAAATGAACCACTCAAGTCTGGATAGTATCATCGGTCCGTACTCACAGAAAATGTGTGACTGGTAAGCCGAAACCTAAAAGGCCTATTCCACGAACTGAGTTCGAAAATTATGGCTGCTGATATTCAGTGAACTCTGTCCAACTGGGTTTCACAATTGTGATAAGCACATTCAAATCTCTACAAGGGACTATCACCTTTAATTTCTTATGCTAATTAAAAGTTAATAAAGTACTCACTGGTTTAAGACCACTCTCAGATTGTCAGACTGATAATTGATTTTTTTCCTTCACGTTCCCAGTGGAACATAGGGCTTCAAGCTAGTGGCTTGAAATTTCTGTAGCAGCGGTGATTATTTTTACAGGATGGGGTTGCTAGTCACATGCCCAACCTTTCCTCTTTACCAGCATTACTTTTGACTTAGAGGGGTAAAGGAGTGCGTCGGCCGGGGATCGAACCGCGGACCATGTGCATGGTCGGTGAGCGTCCTAATCGCTGTACCACTGACGCCTTATGTCCCACTCGGAACCTAACGGAATAATAATGGTATCTGTTTATTCACACGACATTACGTAGACTCTCTCTCTCCTGTTTTTCAGTTGGGGAAGTTATCAGAACATAGAAACAGCTAGATCTATAATGTGGACCCCACCAATTCATATACTCTAGAAAAGTATTCAGCCATTGCAGTGTATTCATTTAAGCGTAATCACCTGATAGGGTGGGATGGTTTGAAGAATGATTGTTTACCTAGTAAGAAGGCTAAATGTGTACAAGTGAATCTCACTATCAGGCACACTGCTTACTGTTTGAAAGTATTTTTTCAAATGCTAATCAACTTCAGGATTTCATCATGAGCTGACATTAGTTAGAGAACCATTGGAAAACCTGGGAGTACTGGACAGCGTTTCGTCCTAGTTTGGGACTCTTCAGCAGTACGCACCCACCGGGATTCGAACCCAGGACCTTCCGGTTACAAGGCGAGCTCGTATACCAGTGGCTTAATGGTATACGAGCTCGCCTTGTAACCGGAAGGTCCTGGGTTCGAATCCCGGTGGGTGCGTACTGCTGAAGAGTCCCAAACTAGGACGAAACGGCTGTCCAGTACTCCCAGGTTTTCCAATGGTTCTCTAACTAATGTCAGCTCATGATGAAATCCTGAAACCAATCAAATCCCTACAAACCAACACTTGAATGCTAATCAACTTCAACTGATTACTATAGAGTGACCAATGTCATGGATCTAGTCGGTAATATTAGTGCTAACTGGGACGTATCAACTGATTGTGCAATATGATCACTAAAATCGGTGGCAGATTATCACTTTGAATTGTAGTAATGCATTTGAAGGCAATCCACAGGAAACCTTGGATCCAAGCTGTTTACTTGTTGGCATTCATCTGTAACCTCGAAAGAAGTGACCGTCCCCCATCCACCGAAGAGATATGAAATCCCGAACCAACCAGTGATGCAGTAAAGGTGTTATCAGCTAATTATTCAGATTCAACTAATTTTTATTGATGACTTTCTTCATTAAACATTTTGTTAAGAGCATTTTTCTCATCCAACACAATAATAATTTACACTGGCTGACTTAATTTTTTATTCAGGGCATGTCAAAATGTTATAACCGGTCAGACGATACATATTTTTTATGCTAGAAAAGGTGCGTTATATAGTTTACAGAACAGTATTATTTCAGTACAAAGAATATACAAACGAGGAACTATCTCGTACATAGTAAGTCAACTAGCCTACTTACTTTTCAGTATAATGATAATGACAATAATAGTAATTATTATTTGAAAAGTTTGCTTGTAGCTCAAGTCCCAATTGCAAGTGCTAATTTGTAAGCCTTTGACTGATTTCAAGTCAGCTTTCATTGCAAACTAATATGGGTTTTGAAATCACTGAAAACCAATGAAGCACTGGACAGACAAATCCAAAACCTCAGAATATGTCTTCTAATTCAAATGAAAAGTTGTAATCAATGGGAATTATCATGTCCTGTATGAAACAAATACTTTTTGGAGGCACAGTGGCTTTGACAGCAGTAGGGTCATTGATGTACACTTTTAAAGAGTACCGGACTAAAATGAAATGGTCGTCCGTTATTCCGTGATTTTTAATACTTCTCGAAGTGAGCTCGGTCAATCGCGAAATCTACATCTCTTTGTGAAATAAGCATTAATTGAGTAGTGTTTGGCTGTTGTCAGTGTTTTACAAAACAAACTCTCCAATGATCGTAATATTAAACAAAAACTCGGAAGTAACAATGAATTAAAGATTGAAGAAAATAAAGTTGATAAATAGGTAAACAGGTTAGTTTTCTAGAAGAAAAGGAATGAAAGCTTTGCGTACACTATGCGTAAGGAATTGTAAGAAGTGTAGTGGTGATGCCTTCTGCAAGAATCGTGATTATCCAGGCTGTGGAGTAAGTTGTAAGAATAACTACTGTACCAGGTGGAAACACTATATATATATATATATATATATATAGGAATAGGAATAGCACTGAGTGTTAGGGTGAAGAGGTCACTTCTTGACTGGATCCCAGTAGATAGTCGTAAATGTGCGGTCCGTCTGAATGGGTCCGTTAAAAAAGGAAAGCCGGCACTACCCGTCGTTGCCTTTTCGTAGTCTCCGCTTACGCCCCAACAGACTGCAGTTCGGATGAACTAAAGTATGACTTCTACCTGAAACTGTCTAATTTGCTGCAAAAAGCAAAACACTTAGATATAGTTGTTTTAGCAGGCGACTTCAATGCCCAAGTAGGGAAGTTGTGCCAGACTGAGTAGTATGCAGGTGATACGTATGGAGTCCCCTGCCGACGAACCGACAACAGTGATCGTCTTCTACAGTTTTGCTCAGATAATCATCTGTTTCTAGTCAACACTAACTTTAGGCACAAAAAGAGACATCACCAAATCAACACTGGACTCAGATAGACCATGTAGCGAATAGGGTATCGTTGGCGAAGGTCACTAGGAGACTGTCGCTCCTTCTGGAACACGTACGTTAGCTCTGATCACGCTCTGGTTCGCGCACGTTTATGCTTACGACTAAATGGACATAAGAAATTGACGGCAGCGAAACAGTCACGTCCCCAACTAGATCAAGTCACTGAGTCGCTATTTAAGGAAGAAACAGCGAAAAGAGTATCTGAGGTCGACAGAGGGACTTCGCCTGAGGTAACCTGGCACAACATACAGTTAGCTGTAGACATAGCTGTAAAAGCTGTTAATAAGCTAAAACCAAATGTTAGTAAGAGTCATTGGATCTCTACCACCTCATCCGAATGATTGACGCAAGAAGACTGATTCTGGCGAGTTCCGATTATGATGAGGAGCGAAAGCTACTCAAACGAAAAGTAACAGGAAGTCTTCGCAACGACCGTGAACAGTGGTGGGTGACAAAAGCGAAAGAGATGGAAAAGGCTTCGGTGATTGGCAACACCAGACAACTATTTAGACTCATCAGGGAAACAGGTGGCAAAAGGCAAATGAAAAGTGAAACAATCTCTGATAAGAATGGCACCAGAATTAGCTCCCAGGATAGACGACTGGAACGCTGGAAACAGCACTATGAGGAGCAGCTTAGTTGGCCTACAGCCACACTCAACCCGACGAACATCCAACACCTCCCTGAATGGGATAGAGACACAGGTCCTCCATCCCTGACTAAGGTAACTAAAGCTGTCAGCAATCTGAAACAAGGCAAAGCAGCGGGACCTGATGGAATGACTCCAGAGGTATTTAAGTACGGTGGAGATCGTTTACTCTCTCCATTAACTGAGGTTCTAGGCAGCGTCTGGGAATCAGAAGAAGTTCCGTCGGGTTGGTGTAAGTCACTGATTATCCCCATATACAAGGAGGGAGACAAGTCTTCCTGTGATAATCACAGAGGGATTAGCTTGACTAATATAGTGGTATCTAAAGTCCTAGGCTCAATAAGTATGCGTAGACTAAGTGGGGCTTGGGAGGCACAAGCAAGAGAGAGCCAGGAAGAGGGTGTATTGGTCATATCTTCACCCTCTGACAGATTCTAGAACATAGGCATTCCTATCGGCACCCAACAATCACTATATTTCTTGATCTAAAGGCAGCATTCGATTCTGTCGACCGAAAGGTACTATGGCGATGCTTGGCTGAATAGGGGATCCCGAGAAAATACATTGCACTGATCAAGGCACTCACTCTACTCGAACTCATGCCGTCAGCCAGGTGAGGGCTTACGGTGAGCTGTCATCTGAACTGATGACGACTAGTGGTGTCCGTCAAGGATGCCTATTATCCCCTTTTCTATTCAACTTCATCATAGATGTACTAATGGACGTAACCCTAAGTGACTTCAGTGACTCGGGGATTGACTTGCCACCAGGGAATAATCTCGTTGACTAAGAATATGCAGACAATGTAGTCCTTCTAGGCGAGGACGCTGGAAAATTGCAGTATCTTCTAAACACCTTGAGTTGTAATCTACGAATGTTTGGCATGCGTGCGATTCGCTCCCGCCAAATGCAAGATGATGTTACAGGACTGGACTACATCGACGCCTAGTTTAAAAATAGGAAGTGAAGTGGTAGAGCACGTTGACCGCTTCACTTATTTGGGAAGTACCATCAGCCAGTGCCAACGGGTTGATCTCTGATGAAATCTCAGCACGGATACAGGGGGCTAGTTTCGCATTTGCCAGTTTACGCCGTCACTGGCGTAGACAAGATATCTGACGATCGACTTAAAGGCGGGTGTACTGCTCATCAGTCCGCTCTGTCCTTCTTTATGGCTGTGAGACCTGACCGTTGAGAGTGGAAGACATGTAGAGATTAGTTGTCTTTGATCATAGGTGCCTGTGCTCTATCTCCCGTGTGAAGTGGTATAGTTGGGTGAGCAATATTGAGGTTAGACCTCGGTCGAGTTCTAGGTGAGGTGGGAGGGGAAATCAATCGACGAGGCTGGGAAGCTGCATCGACTGAGATGGTTAGGGAATGTGTTACGCATGCACGCCTAGCAATTCATCGCCTTCCTCGACTGACGGGCAATGTTAGCTGACATAGGGTCAGGCTGGAAAAGAGATAGCGGCGGTCAGACCAAAACACGGCTTCATCAGTCAATGAAATCCACAACAACAAATGCTTTAAATAGTGCCATCACCAGGCATCTTCTCGACACGGGTCATGAGGTGGACGTTGAAAAATCGTTCAAAATTATCAATAAGCAAAATAGCTCCATTCTCCTTAAGTTTGCTGAAGCCATTTCCATCAAGCGCATGAAACCTGATTTATGCGTCCAGAAAGAAGCGGTTATCAGCCTTTCTTTGCCCTGGTAACTGGATAATTTCACCTCTCTTTCCTCCGAATGTGAAATGCTAAAAGTTTCCATTGTGTTTGATTATTATTGTTCGGAATAGTGGTTAATATTGCATATTTATATATATATATATTTTTAGTGTATGCGTATATTGATCGATTGATTTTTTGTTTAAACTTAACTCTGTGCAAGTATGTTAAAGTTGTTGTTGTAGATATATTTAATAATGTCTTTGCCATGTAAGCAGCTGACGAGAAGGCAACGAAATAAAAGATGGTACCATTTTATTCTGCTAAAACTGTAGTTCTTGCATTGTTCAAATTCATTAAGGGGAATAAATGTATGAAATCCACAACAGTTAGTTTAAGCCAGCTAGTCACGTGGGAAGGTGTAGACTGGCTTCCTGACTGGTTGGGGTCCTCGGGACGGTAAACACCAATGGTTGGAAACAATTGGTGATATGGCTCCAAATTGTTCTCAATGGCTGGTGCAGATGCACCCACACCCTGTGACTTAGGATTTTCAACGAAACTGTATTGTTCTTCGTTACTTCTATTTCTTTGTCTCACACCTCTGTTTACTGTCTCTATTATGCATTTCTCCTACTTGCTTCTCTTGCTTTGTGTTCTACAAGGAGGGGAGTGTGGTAACTCGAATTGCTGCATATCAGTGCAAAGTTCTCTGTCAAAAACACGCAGTCAGATTTCCTGTCTTTGGAAACTAATCTATCTCTCGGCTATTCAAAATTTCCTCAGAAGTCACCCAATATATACCACTCGTCAATTCATGCCAGTAACAAACTCCATTGGATGTAAAAATCTGTAAACCGCTTTCAACTCTGTGCATAGATTTCGGTTGATGAAGAGGAGTTAAAATATCAGATCGACCGATTGACTGATTGAAATAAATTTTTCTAAGCGCTAAATGTCAAAGCCTGAAAAATATAATACTAATTATTTGGAATCAGTAAATGAAAAAATAAATTACATTCAACTAATTTCAATGTACTAAATTAGTGTAACGTGAATATTTCAAACCTCTCTACAGTAAAAGAATGCTACTTTTAAGTCCATCATACACCTGAGTATGCTTTTCATGTGCTAATTCCTGACATACACCCCACACACAACTCTCTATATCAGTCACTTAATGCGTTCAAATCATTCACTTTCTAAATAACATCTATGAACAGACAAAAGTCTAATAAAACGTCCTATTTGTCAGGTGGATTCAATGAAAGATCTAGAATTCACAGTTTCTATTCACCAACTACAAACTAAGCAACTGAGTAGTCTGAATACTTCAGATATATCTTATGTAGAGAGCACATATCAGATTACAGAGTACAATATTTACCTAACAGTTCTTTTAGAACTTTTATGCTTAATAATGGCTCTCACAATGTCTACTTTATTTGTTTTTCTTGTAGTGTCAAGGTTATTCGTGTGTAGATGTGAATAGGAATCCGGAACAACAATTTTTCCTTACTACAAATATCAGATTTTTTGATATAACTTCAAAATGAAAGTCTATTCATAAAATAAATTATATGTTTGTAATATTAATAATAAAATTATCCTTTGCAAAAGCAATCTTATCAGTGGCAAATAGCATGACACCAAAGTCAGAACCCAAGTTATTTTTATGGTTCTTAATTTATTGATTTTACAGCTTGCTGGGAGAGGGCATTAATTGTTAGTATATCCACAGTTAAACACATACATACATGTATGACTTCACAGTTATCTGTGAAAAAAAATAGTCAGTTACCGGAGAAATTCTTAACCGGATGAACACAGTACAAAATAGCGTATCGTTAATATACATGGGAGAAAGTACCGACTATTTACCATTTTTAGATGTACCCATTACTCACCTACAGGATGCGTCAATAAAACGATCTAACTATGGGAAATCCACCTGCAGGAAACAGAATCTTGATTACCATAGTTCCTGTCAACTGCGATATAAAAAGACGTTATTTAAATACATGTTCAGATGTATTCAACCTGAACGTACAGAGGATACCATTGAAGAAGAAATACAAAAACTATACCAAAATACTATGAGATAATAATATCGATTATCAGGTCATTCATGGCTGCTGAATGAATGTCCTGAAGCTTCTTTAATGAAAATTTGTGACCAGTGGAGTCCACCAGGTCGGGGTGTGGCGGATGCTCATTGAAGGCAGTGGTGAGGGTACCGTTATTTTACGAATTGACAAAGTTAGAATTCATGGGTCAATAACATCCATCCGATGCGGCTCAATAGTCAACGAGCTTGGTCTCTTAGCCTGAAGGTTCTGGGTTCGATATCTGGTGGCATCGTGGGAGCGAACTGATGAAGAGTCCCAGATCAGGACCAGACAGCTCTTCACTGCCCCCTGCTTTTCACTGATTTCTCTGACTGATGTTGGTTCGTGACGAAAATCTATCAGTCGCAAATAATAATCACGCCCTGAAAGTTATTAAACGATACAGAAGCGTCAGTTAAAGGCTTCCACCTTTCGGATCATCTTCCATCCAAAACAATGTTTGCATATCTTCACAGTTCGACGGTGGTCATGAAAGCCAGATCACAACAAAAAAGGTCTCAGAGTGACACTCAATAGAGATTGAGATGCAGCTTAGCTCATTTTCGTAGGGAAAAAGAGACTTATGTTGTCTCTTAAACCCTCACAAAATCGAAACGATAATGTCACGTCCCATTGTGACGTGACAGTTAACATTTGTGTGTGGTCAGACGTACATAGGATGGACACCGACTTCTTCAGGTAAAGGTTATAGAACACTTACCTTAGTAGTTTGAAGAACAGATGAAATCGCCTGATACAATTAGTCCCAGAAATAGATGTGTACAACGTTATTTATCGCAATGCATATCATAGTTGTCTTTAATCGTATATGTGAAAGGCTTGATTTATGCACTTAAATTTGTTGGAACTGTAGATAAAAATCAATTCAAAGCGATCAGCTCCCTTTATGAGTTTCGACAACACAATAAGAAGATGTAGTTTATCTGAAACGTGTAATTTATTTGTGCAACACATTTCGGACATTCTAATCACACACGTACTTGTCATACACAGTTTTATAGAAGGCATGAATCATTACAATACAGTTCAGATTGTGTGCAGGTGAAGGTCAGAAATAGTGGGTAGGGAGATGACGCAAAGGTGTGCAAATAAGAAAGAAAACACGGAGCAAATAAGGGATTGAAGATATTATGAAGTAAATTGATTCTTGGTTCTAAATTGGATTACCAAGGCAGGTTTGAAGTAATAACAAATAACTTTTGGACACATAAGGCTGGTTTAAGTCTCTTTATGGCTCAGGCTTCAACGAATTTAAGTGTGTAATCCAACCTTGTTTTATATATGGGCTTAAAGGCATTGGTGAAATCAACCTTATGACCAGTCCCTATAGAACTCACTATGCAGGTGAACTTATCTTCATAGACAAAACGAGATCTATGCTGTGCTGTTGAAGCTCACGGCATCGGAACGATAGTGTCACATCCCATTGTGTTTATCAATTTACATGTATATGTGGACACACGTACATAGGGAGGACTTATCGGTCTCTGCAGATTAGGGCTACAGAACATATCCCAAAGTAGCTGCAACAACGAATAAAATCAACAAAGTTCAGCTGTTCTTATATTGCTCTTATATTCATGTTTGGATGGGTATTTTCTGCGAATTAAAAATAAAATCGCCGGATACAACTCATCCCGGAAATAGATGTCCAACATCATCTACAGCGAAGCACATTGTAACTACAGCAGAACCTTTAACTGGTCTGAGGATAACGATGTCAGTATTATGTTCTAGTTCTTTTAGAGCTTCAAAGTGCTCAGATGCTAAGATACTTTTCTGAATTGTGTGACCATTGCAGAATTCGTAAGCAATGATACCAACGCATCCATTCTCCCAGACAGCATACAGACGATTATTTACTGTGATTCAGTTAGGTAGGGATTTCCATACTCTAGCACGCAATTCTATCCCTACGCCTGCGAGTCCTCGCGAACTAGCTGAGGAATATCCGGATACTCGTAAGATGAAGATTCATCATGTTGTCCAGGTGGGGTTAAGTGAATAACCACACTTGGGTTTTGTATGTGTGTCTCAGAAACAACATATATCCATAGCTGGAGATGACAGAGTTCTGGTTAGTGGTGCCTGTTGACCGATTCAGCAAAGGATTCTGATACTAAATGCTCCGATGTGAAGTTGACAGCGTGGTTTTTAAGAGACTAATTGTGGTGTTTTGTGGCTGTGATCGGTATTAATGGTAGCAGAGTTAAAACAAGGCGAGGAACATGCTAAGAATGGTATTAACATTGCGAAGTAAGTAAGATGATGGAGGATGATGACCAGGATTGTCTTATGTACTTATGGGGGTGTATGGGCATTCTAGAGTGTGGTCCCTTCCTGGAGTACGTGAAACAGAAGGAGTGGTAATGATGCGTAACCGCAGACGTCAAGGAAAACTGACGGTTTTTACAGTTTAGTCCTGATAAAAGATCTCACTGGCGGCTACAGGCCACCACAAGGTAAGTCGGGATGAACAATTTTGCGAGTCGATTGTTCTTAGCCTCTAATTCTTCGCAGTGCAGAACCAGCAGGCTCGCTAGTCGTCTGAGGTAAACACTTTGCTGCTGTTACATTCCTATTTTGCAGTAGTAGTTGTGTAAACTGCTAAAACTATGATGAAAACTGCTTTTAGCAGCAGCTATCAGTCGAGTTATGTTTTTCTTTAGATTATTTCATTTTATCTTCATTGTTTTTTGTGTATTTTTGGTATTGAGAGTCGGTTATCTGTTATTGTGGCTTTCACTGATTGGTGTCATATTCTTAAATGTGTTCCACACTTCATACATAAGTACAAGAGTTATTTCTAAAAGCAACCTCACCAAGTAGATGATATTGTTGGAATGCAATTCGTAAATTATCTACTGAGTTCATGTTGTGTTAGAAATAAGTATAAGTGGTTCAAGTAGTAGTTCATAGAGGAGGAAAGTGAAAATGGGAAAGCCATCGAAGTAGGAACTTTAGAAGTGCTTAATTTTGTTTTTATCAGAACCTGATTAGTGACACATATAGTGAAAAGCAAAACATTTTGAATACAGAATTAGCTGATGTGTCACTAGTGAATAGTGAAATCATTATGCATGGTTTATCATTTTTGGGTTTTTGTCTCCTGTTCACATTTGTTGCTATTGTCATTCTACTGGTTATCAAAATGAAGCTGACAAGAGTACTGAAATTCAAACGAATTTAGTGTGTAAACTGCATTTCAGTCTCATTTCATCTAACGTGGAAAATCTAGCTTGATAATTATATTGAAAACCAGTCCCATGAGAGATCAACCAGAATTTAGCTTGTGTTAAAGTTGTCTGATAGACTAGAAGCAAACTATCAATTGATTTCATGCTTTTTAGAGCACCCACTATCTTGGATCAGAAATTGATTTGTACTATTTTATATATTCTTGTGGATGATTCACGTCTTGTATCTCACACAAATAAACAAACGCAAATTCTTATCCTTCAACTCATATAGTACTTGTTCTACTTACACCAAAGACTAATCAAAAGACTAGATAGATAGTCCAGAATACGAGATAGTATTTGGTGATTAGAATCGTACTGCGATGACGGTTGCTCAGCTAGCTAGGGATGATGAACGAACTACCAAACGTAACATGACAGCAAGCCAAATGACGTGGACGCTTCACCACAAGCCTTCAGCTTAATGAGTCGACTTAAATAGTGAAGGTAAGCATCCAGTGTCGAGTGAAGAATGACTGTAGACTAGTAATTCTAGGGAATTTGTTTACGTCTATAGTTCCAACGAATTTAAGTGTATTAACCAAATATTTTGCATATATGCTTCGCGACAAATATCGTTGTACACATCTATTTCCGTGATTTATTGATTTGCATTATTATGTATTATGTCATCAGTTGGCAGAAGTGTATCTTCTCAGCTGCGAAACTAACCGTTCTTGATCATGTAATATATATAATAGTATAATTTTGCTAACAAACTCTGACACCAGCCTGTAAATCTGGTGTTTACAATTAGCAATATTTCCCCTTGTTCATCTGATGCTGCCGAATTCACCGCCTTTATGTTTCCTCATTTTTATCGATTTTCCCAAAATATCAACAGTTGGTCTTTGTCTAGTTATGATATACATTTCTAGATCAAATTTAGCCTTATCCACCATTTTGCCTAAATTATAATTAGCTTGACGAACCCTACGAAACAATTAATACCTTATACATACACACCGGTGACAAGTGATTTTGCAAATCCTCCCAGTAAAATTCAATTCCCTTGCTAACGAATTGCTACAGGACGGAGTTTCCTGGAGTTCTAGTGGGAAAACGTGGCCAATTAGGTTCACCCAGTTGGGAGTGAGGATGGATTTCCGGCTAGTGACATTGGTTGGTGGTTGCACTAAAATCGCGAGTTGGTACAAGTTAGAATTCATGGGCCATTAGATCGGGTAG